TGATTTCAAGGACTTCTCTTAATATGCGTTGAATGCATTCAATAGGGATATGCTCTTCTACATAGCAGCGTCTGTAATTTCTTCTAGCAAGAACAAAGAAATATAACCATAAAAAAGTAGATAGAAAGCCGATGTGATTTTTGTGTCAAAAGAGAATACTGCATAAGAGAATGCAATAATCGCCCGGAATACAGAAAAAAAAATTTCAAAACAGAAATTTCTTACAAACTTATCATAACTTAGTAAAACTGAAAAATTATTTCGAAATATGCGAAATATTTATATTTAAAAATTATGTAATACTTAGGGTGCGTTCGGGGAGACGCTATTCGCGCTATTTAGCGCTACAAACTGTTTGCAGAACTGCAGATAGCACTAAAAACAAACACGATCATTAATGGTGATGTCACTAATCGTGTTACGTCATAACTGCGCGCTATCAACGCTATTTCTTCCGAAGTAGTGTATTGGTAACGTTAGCATTTACAGATCCGTGAACGATCCTAGCGTAGCGTTGGTAGTGTTTAACATTTGTCAAAGTTATATTAATGTTTAAGGGAATTATGTTCTCGAGTGTCATCAAACTTTTTTCTCTTAGAATTTCGTAGAGTAAACGTACGTACATGATGTATAAATTTCAAATTTTTTATTATAATGAATGCAATCTCAATTTTAATCTCTGCTGATGACTTGCCACTAGCCTGGAGTGAACATAATTCTTGCTCGTGTATCATCTTTAATTTTTCAAAATTTCTGCAAAGTGCAACTTGTGTATTTGATTTCATTATAAATGTGAAAGAGGTATCTTATTAATAATTTTTAATTCTCGTGTATAGAAAAAAGTTACTATTACGCGGCAGGATATTCCGTTACAAATGCTTGAGATCCTTATTAGATATAGATATGCTTCTTCTTCTGAAATCGACAACGCTCGATGCTCAAGAGTTTTTCCTTTTATGTGATTAATTTACTTAGTATAACTAGATTAATTTTTTGATCTAGTTTCATTGTTCACTTCGGTCTAGCAGCAAACTACCATAGAGATTGCAATTGCGTTCTGTTATTCACTATATATGAGAAAATAAAAAATTTACAAATACTTTACAAAACCTTAAAAATTTTAATTATAGGGAAAATTTGGTTGGTGATTGAAAACAGAATCTTCTACATTAACTTAACTTCGACGAATATATCTCTCTGGTTAAACACTACCAACACTACTAGGATCATTCATGGAGCTTGCTAACGCTATCGCGCTATTGACTCCAAGAATAGCATTGGTAGCGTTTGCATCTATAGCGCGAATTGTGTCTCCCCGAACGCATTCTTACTCGACATCTCGGCCAAGCGTTAATCAATAATATGAAGTTGTCATACAGTGAAGTTGCACATCGAACGTGAATTGTCACAATTATGGTGGTCAGAAAGGTGAAGCATTACACAAGATGGATGGGGAATTCGACAACTAAAACGCAATCGGCAACTCAAGATCACATTGGCCTTAGAAAATTCACTTAGGAAATTTATAAGTGTACGACGGAACGCGTAGGCATACGTCATTATTCGGTGCCCTTCCAGGTACACGATCTTAACGAATTATTTTTTTTCGTCTGTTATTTCATCTATTTTATCTCAGACATTATATCAATACTTTTATATTTTAATTATTTTAGTCCGGACGCTAGGACAAGCGTAGGAAATTTTCGAGCGTACGTCCATGATCGCGCGAGCTTTCGCTATTATTCGGAGGGTTTCGTGACCATTACTTCAACGAATTTTTTTTTTCTATCGTCAGTAATATCAGATATTGCTTTCGTACTTTTAGATTTTCACACAGGACGCGAGAACCGCGATCTTTGTTTGAAACATCTGGACGTACATGAAAATTTTTGAACACATGTATATATGAATGATCTTCAATTGTCTGTTATTTCAGTATAGGCTTACCTTTAATTCGCTTCAGGATCGCTCCAAATTTCAACTACATCCTTGCATATGAGTCTGCTACATTTATATAACGATTTATTTTTAGTACATATAAGACTATTATCAGTTTCTAAAGTGAAAGACATTTTCAATTAATAGGATATTTTTTATTTATTCACAAAAATAAACAATTTCATTTTATAATCTAATCTTAAAGGACAATTTATAGCTCTGTAGCGTTCGAAATTAATTCTTGGCTCGGATTGTTCGAAGATCACGTGATTCTAACTTTGCCATTTGCTAGCTCGCATCTCAGATTTACATTGCCGAACCTAATGAGGAGCTAAGGACAAAACCAATCATATTGAAGAATTTTACAACAGTTGCAAAAGCTATTTTCTCTGCTGAATTTAGCCATAATAATGAATAAATTATATACAATAAAATACTGAATAAATTATATAGAATAAATTATATAGAATAAATAGTTGAAGATAATAATTGTAATATATTGATATAAAAGTCATGTCGATTATATCTGAAATAATGTCTACTAATCGAATGTATAGTGCTATTCCTAACAAAAAAAATCTGAGTCCAAAAATCCTGTACCATTTTGCAATTTTCGCAATCTTTTTTTTTTGTAGTTGCCCAATGAGCAAAATATCTAAAATCGATGTATAAGACCACTTTAAGATATCTTTAAGAGTTCTTTAAAACATCTTCAAAATATTTCATAAAGAACACTGAGAGATATCTTAAAATTGTCTTATATATCGATTTTATCTATTTATTCGGCAATTTTTAGAAATTAACATCTCGACTATTGCGAAAATTGCAAAATGATAGAAGACTTGTCGACTCAGTTTCTTATTAGGAATAGCCTTGTATGATTGTATGAGTGGGCGGTATTTCGGATACACACACCTTGTAATTCTACTTGTAGATCTACGTACTCTAACGGAAACAGAAATAGCAGTGAACTTATCCATAAGGCGAATTTCAACCGGTTGAAATTCACCTTATTGTAAGGATAAGTTTATTGTTATTTTTCATTTCTGTTAAATTGCGTAGACCTAAAGCAATATCGGCTTAAATTTACGTCTTACGGTCACTGTTACGGAATTTTGTGTATAGCAGCCGTTTATACAAATATTGTAAACAAAGCATAAGCATAAGACCACTAAACCAATGAGCATATTATGTAAATCAAAATGGCGACATTAGATGCTCACTGATCCAGTAGTCTTATGTTATACTTATGTTGTTATGCATTTCGTGTGTAAAGCTCTTAGGATTGCCGCACACAAAATTCCATAACAGTATGCGTAAGGTGTAAACTTAATCAGCAATATCCTGATTGGCCGATGAACCAATCAGGATATTGCTTTAGATTACGTAAGCTAACAAAAATGGAAATAACAGTAAACTTATTCATACTCTCGCAATCTATGTCGTGATCGTATTGTCTCCGCATACTCTTTGGAGGTAAAGTCACTAAATTAACAAAGTACCGCGATGAGAAAATTCACTGACGCTACGTTTCAAAATTTCCTCTCCAAGGAAGATTTTACTCTATAGTATAAATTAGATGTACTATATATTTCGAGTAAAATTTTCTTCAAAGAGGAAATTTTAGAATATAGCCTGAATTAGCAATTAGAATCAAAATGGCATCGAAGTGCTATCTCAACTTAATTCTGTTAAAAGGTTGGAAATCTATAGGGATCTGAAAGAAGAAGAAGAACCTGATTGTTATTATCAAAAATGCCCGGCTGTGTTAAAAATTGCAAAAACCGCAAAAAAAGCTAAAATTTTGAATAACTGCATGTCATGGAGCCAAAATAGCGGCAGTTCGCGATACTTTGTTAATCTAATGATTTTATATGGAGGCAGGAATCATCAATTAAGAAGAAGATAATTTCACAATAAGATGAATTTCAACCTGGTTGAAACTTATCTTAAATGTCCACGTTAGAAATCGGTCGGAGATCTCGGACAGAGAAAAAATTAAAAAATCACATTCGAACAATTTGATCACATGACTATTGCGATTGGTCAATTCTTTTTTCATCCGAGATCTCGGATCGATTTCTAGCATCATGGACATAAAGCTTTATAGACAAGTTTATTGCTATTTCTATTTCCGTTAGAATACGTAGATCTAAAGCAGTATCTTGATTGGCATAAGTTCACGTCTTAGGGTGCAATTACATATAGCTCGATACGCGGTACACGATACAGAAACTAACTAGATAACTATACCGCTAACTATAGTACCGCGCAAACCATGCTGCTTGCTTCTTTTCTCCTCTATTGTAGCGGGATAAATAGCATAGACTAGTGACAAATTAACTTTAATTTTATGATGACTTTTTATGAATTTTTAAAATAATTAACTTATTTTTATGCACATTTTATCAACACTCTTTTTTTCAATAAATTCACTTAATTGCATTTAATTCTATTAAAAAGTACTTAGTAATATGAATTTGTCACTGGCCCATGCCGCTTATCGCGCTAGAATGTTATTTCACTTGTATGTTTTTGTCGTATCACAAATGTGTACAAAACAAAGAAATCTTCGGATCTCTCTATCTCATAGCCAATCAACAAACTTGAAAAATATGTCATGCGATAAAAACGCATAAATATTAGGCGTAGTAAAAAGAAATCCATTATTTTTCCATTCAATTTCATGCAAAAATAATGGATTTCTCTTTACTACACCTAATATTATCTCTGTGTAATAGAAGAAAAAAGAAGCAAGTGGCACGGTTTGCATGGTTCCTATAGTTATCTAGTTTCTATACTGCGTACCGCGCTACATGTAATCGCTCTGTCGTTTATAACAGGAGAATGCTCAACTGTAGTTGGTTCTTATATTCTGATCCGGTTTAAACTCTCGGTGGAAACTAGGCCACCGTCAAATATTCCCCTCTCATTCGACTGTAAGAAGGAAATACTCAAAGGTTAATTTTTATAGATTATAGCATACGGTATACGATTACGACAAATTTAACGAGAGATTTACGCTCGCTCAGTTCAGTGGATAGAATCCCTAATCTGCATTATCGATCTTAATCAAGTTCAATCTTTATTATTAACTAATAATTTTTTGTAGTAATAAGAAACATAAAAGGAATATAAAGAAACATAAAATAATGATAAATTACTAGGAATATGATAAATAATCAGACTTTCCATAATCTTATATTTAATTTAGAATATTATTTCTTTTCAGTTTTTTTTTTTGTACTTTTACTCGCTGTATCGCCAACTTTAATTTTTTTTTTTAATCTGTAAAACGCATCTGTCCGCAACTTATTTCTTATCTGCCTCGCTTTACGCAGCTTGAAGCGGTCAAAATCGTTGAGCTCTGTACGCTGCAACAGAAAAATATTTTTCTCAAATATAATATCATTCCAAAATATATTATTTCTAAAGTTGAAACTATGTATCATCAGAATCAAATTATAGTCGTCAATAAAAGTCAGACGGCATTTCCTATCAAAAAATACCGATTCATCACATATTTAATTTTTATAAACATAATTTTTTAATACTTTATTTTTTTAAGACAAAATGCATTAATATATCATTTGCTAGAAATGAAATAAGTATTATTTTTATTTAATACAAAACTATTAGCAAAATAAAGAATTGACATATTCTGTAATACCTTTTTCTTGGCTTCAACTTTTTTGGCCCACATCGTCTCTTTCCAAAGTTCATTAATATTAGCCGCATCCCACGCTTTACGCACGACACGAGAAGATCCAGAAAACGGAAAACGTAAACGGAATTTTGTCAAGTGAAGCTCATCGAGTCTCATCTCACCACGGAATACACCTGATAATGGACTATCGACTAGAATCTGTGTGTGTAAAAAAGGGATCAGTTTTAAGATTTGAAGAATTTAACAACTTATTAAAGAAGAGTTATATATCTAATGATATATAATTATATCATTACAATGAAATTAACCATCACCAAAGTCAGTCGGCAATTTCTATCATATTATTATTCCATCATACAAAAATATAGAAATGATTATAGTTTATTGTATATATAATATAGCTTTATATATATATAATATTTATAAAATTTATTAATAAAAAAAAAATAGTTAAAAAAACATCTATGTAAAATTTGTTGCATAAATAAAAAATGATTATAATTAACGTTGTTGCAAATTATTAGTCAATGGCTACGTTCAACAGAATTTTTATTTTGGAAGTGTTCTTTGCACTGATTGGATTATACTTTTAAATCTAGAAGAATCCTATCTCAGCAGACAATAAAACGAGCAGACAGCAAAACTGTTGTATTCTACTGATTGCATATATTAGCTACAAAAAATTGTTTGATACCGTATTATTCTATAATTTTTTTATACCAAAAAGATTAAAACATTTTAACAGAAAAAAATATTATTCATACCTGATTCTGATCAGTGACATCAATGATGGTAACTAATTTGCCTTGATAAGGACCGTCGCTCACATAGGCCACACGGCCAGATTGTACAAATCTTTGGCTGTTGAAAAAGAATAAGATATTTCTGATAGCATTCATAATCTAAATATATTAAATTTATCTTGAAGAAAAAAATAAATTCTTTAATATGTAAATATTAAAATTTCATGATACATTAAATATTTCGTTTGTGCTTACATTACTTTAAATTAGAAAATTTCTATGCAAAAATATGAATTTTAATGACCTGCAAAATCATTAAGTTTTTAATTTTTTAACGACCTTTTCAATCATTAAAATTTATATATAATTTCTATAATAGTCATTAAAGCTTAAGCAATAAGAAATTGTCTAATCATAATTAATTATTCTTCTCACAATTATGATTCATCAATTTTTTACAGATTAAGAGATCTAAGCTCAATTAGATAATGACTTATAGAAAACCTATTATATCTTTGCACAGTTTTCTAATTTAAAGTAATGTAAATATAAACGAAACATTCAAAAAGTCTTTATTTTAACATACAAGAGATATGCTAAATTTAATGAATCCAAATTAAAATCAATAAATAAAATAAAAATTTACTGTAGAGGATTTATATCCATTTTTACCTTAGAATGTATATAAATAAAAGAAAAATTATTTATATTGCGTATGAAGCTTAAAGCCAATATATAAGTCGAGAGAGAAAGTCCCAAGTATTAAAATTCCAAGAGTAAAATCCCAAATATTTGTAACATGCATGTGCAGACCATTGTCTATGTGAGTTATAGAAACATTTTCATTATCCACAACCAGAAGCAAAACTGCTGCTAAGACTATCTTCAATGGTTAGAAGACGAAGATATCTTAACCACAGTTACTTCTGATTGCATAACGAAAATTGACCGTTATTTTAGTGATGTTTTCTCAAACATCAACAATAAATGGGAGAAAATGGATTGAGTGACACATGTGCATTACAGTCAATTGAGACTTTATAGCTTTTTCTTTCGTACAAATTGCCTTCAGCACTTAATTCACTCTTTATTTATATATATATGTTCTAAGATTTCTATCAATACAGATGAACTTTAATTTTGATTTAACTTTTTTTTATCTTTTTTCTAATTCTATGAATCAATAACACGAATAAAGAATAAATTAAACCAATTAATTAAGTTGATCTACATTAGTAGAAATAAATATTTGGGGACATGATAGTGACTTGGCACTAAATCTATTCTACAATGTGCTTTTTGTTTTTTATCTTTTGCTTTTTTCTCCTTTGCAATAATTTTTTGTCAACAATTGTATTTCTTGTTCTTTTCGAAGTTTGTTAACTTTTATCTCAGGCGATGTAAAACAAAAAATTGGATAAGCAAAGAGACAAGATGTATAGCCTATTCTACAATGTGCTTTTTGTTTCTTATTACTTGCACTTTTTTGTCTACTATTTTGTCTACTAATCTTGCTTTTTATCCAGTTTTTTGTTTTATATCGCCAGAGATAAAAATTAACAAATTTCAAAGAAATAAGAAATACGTAGCAAGAAATATAATTGTCAATAAGACAGTTGCAAAGGAGAAAAAAGCAAAAGATAAAAAGCAAAAAATAGGAAACAAAGACCGTATTGCAGAACAGGCGAAGCGTTATAGTGCGAGACATTGCCGTTAACATTGACCAAACTCTGATTAACTTGTAATCAATAGTTAATTCAGCCGATAGAATTACTTAAAATAAATTTTCTAATATAAAATTTGTTGTTCTTCATCATTTTTTTTATAAATATAATTCTTTTAAAAATTCAATGATTTTTATTATACTTAATTAAAATAATGTTGAGTTATCGAAGTTGAAAGTGGAAGCGGTCTTTGATATGTTTTCTTTCTTAAACTTTGCAAATGTGATTTAAAATGGTAATTCTCCAGAAGAGTTTACTTATCTCCGATTTCGATTAAATTAGGCTCATTCGATGCGTTTTTGCGTAAAATGAAGGAAATTGGAGACTGGCAGAAAAAAATTGGGGACTGCTTTGCGAAGCGAGATATTGAGCATTAAAGTTAACAGGCCCCACGCGGATATGATACGATATTTTTTGTTCGGAGCAACGTAACCGTCCTGAATTACTGTCCAACCAATAAACTACTGTCTACCCAGCAAACGAGAATGGATTGAAATGAATTGAAATAGATTCAGATTTTCAAAAATATTGATTCACAAATGTTAAAATGAATGCTTTTCAATCCTGAATGCATTTTTATTCATTTATAGGAATTGCATGGAGCATATCTCTATGCCTTTCAATCTAAAAATAATATTAGCTTTCTCTGCAAAAACACAATTGTGAATACTGTTCAATTCAAAATTTTGAATAGGAAATGCAGTTTTTCATCATTTCATCATTCAATCCAATTGAATCTAATTGAATCCAATTAAATCTCCAAAAAAATATTTGCTATTTAAAATACATTCGGATAGAAAAAAAATGTCAATCCATTCTCGTTTGTTGGGTATACATCTCACATAACAGATTTCCTAACTTCAATAGTTGTCAATTTTAACACTCAATATCTCGCTTCGCAGAGCAATCCCCAACTTTTTTCTGCCAGATTCTTTCATTTTACGCATCTTCTTTTTCAAAGTTAATGCCTCCAAAAATAATAAACATAAAGATCGATACGGCCAGACCACGTCCTTATAAGAGATACAAAAATTAAAAATGATGCAATGTCCATGAAAATGACGAAGCCAAAATAAAAAACGCGTCGAATGAGCCTAATTTAATCGAAATCGGAGCTCTTCTCTGGAGAATTACTTTAAAAATAATTTATTGCGCTAGGTTATGTTCCAAAACTTCCTCTCTGAGGAAAACCTTGCGAATAAATAATATTGACCGAATCCACTATGAGAACGCAAGATGTGTCTAAAATCCCATTTGATGCACTATGCGGTTGACAAACGATCGACGAGGTTAAGTCGCAAAATAATAATTCGCAAGGTAAAAGTAATCGTTACGTTAAAAATTGCGAGCATAACACGAAAAAAACGGAATTCATGGAAAATCTATCCGATATCTTCTTCTAAATTTAATTTGTCCTGATCCTCGAAAACGAGAGAGGCCAATTAAGTTCAAAACACAAAGTCGGCAACACTTTCAAAAAAAATTAGGAGATGCAATATTCAAACCGAAACACCGTCCCAGTTCACGCTCGTCACGAGACTCTTATCAGATGTCTGTTTATACGATTTTACACGATTATTGTTCGATAAACTTCACTATTCAATTACCATCTACTTCTAACATGCCTTCAGGAAGAAAGACCATAGTGGAAAGACGGTGCTCAGTTCGCAAGCGTTTCTAAAATTAGCGCTCTCTGTCTTTTCTCTGCCTCTCGCAGGGTCTAAGCTGCGTTTGGATTCCCACCTGGGTGCTCTTTGGGTGTCATGTCATCCTTGTTTAATGTTCGATAAACAACAAGGATGATATGACATCCGGGGAACACTCAGGTAGGAATCCGAACGCAGCTCCATAAAAAATCCTTAGACCAGGTTCACTTGACGGAAAAGCGGAAGCCAATCGGAACTCGCAGTAGTAGTAAATGATACATTTCTGCTTCTATCTTTCCGCGAGTCCTGATTGGTTTCCGCTTTTCCGCTTTTCGTTTTTTCGTTAAAGTGTGAAACTAGCCTTATACCTGTATTTATAATCAGATCTTACAGTCTACTCACCGAGCGATTGGTTCTAAGGCTTAAACACAATAGGCACAGGCAACAGAGAATAATGAACCAATCAGAACTCTGGTATATAAGTTGATATTCCAGAACTCTGATTGGACAGCTTATTATTATTTAAGCCTTAACTTATAGATCGGTAGGTAAAAACCAATCGCTCGATAAGTAAGACTGCATTCCGAAAATCATAGAAAAAAATCTGTTGCAACCTTTTAGTCGGCGAATGTACAGTCAGAGTCAAAAAAGCAATACTTTCTTTTCGATGGATTTTGAAATGTAGCTTGCTCTCCAAGCGATTGGTTCTTACTTATGGACACATAAATAAAAACCAATTATTCGATGAATAAGCATTCTGAAACCTATTGAAAAAAAAAGTATTGTAACTAGACTCCGATTGTACATGATTGGACAAAATCTCCGGTTGTAAAAATTACTATTTTAAATCGTTTGAATTTTGTATGAAGAGTTTTGAAATGCAATTAAAAGGTTTGTTATCATTTTTGTGAGTCATTCTATTAATTATAATTAATGAATCTTCTTTTGTGTATTTGATCGAAATAATCAGCCGAATCTAAATTCAACAATGTTGTATATGGAATCATTTGTATTTTGTTTGAAGAGTTAAAATATCATTAAAAATATTTGTAAGTCTTCCACATACTTTTAATTAAATATTTAAATATCATGTATTTGACCGAAATAGAAGATTCAACCTATGATCATGAAAATTCCATTAGACGCGATCGGTTGTCTCTCTAGTATTTCGATACTCTTGGTTCTTTTTCGATCATCATTCATAACAAAATTTAGATCCAGCTGATTATTTCGGTCAAATAAATGGTCCAAAATAAATTCATTAATTATAATTGTGAAATTTGCAAACAGATCTAAGAGAACGATTCTGTGATTGGAGATCCGCTAATTCGCTTATGCTGAATTCACACTGGATCTGATGTGCGTCGTACGATGCTCTGCAACCAATCATTTTGCTTCATCGATACAAAATAAAATCCTGCTTTCTGATTGATTGCAGGACATTGTACGACTCACGTCGGATCCAATATGAATTCAGTTTTTTTAACTGATCAGTTTGTAAAATTCTTTCTTCTAATTAGTCCATCAAATGCTTCAAAGCATTTATAGCGAGATTTTGACACAGCCTATACTATTCACTATACTTGGCAGTAAAGAACATTATGATTTGGAGCAAAAAGAATTGTAACGAAAGTCAATCGTAATGTCTGTAATCTACTTTTCGTCGCGCATTCCATTTTCATGATAGCAAAAAAAAAATAGAGATCGATGATTTTCATCGCTAAATTTTGAGCGATTTAGCGATGTATGAAAAGGCATCTTTAATCTTTGCACAAGAGCGATGTCGCTAAAAGTTGTATTACTCCAACTGTTCAACAGTGTTGCTGGCGATAAGAAAGTGAGCAAATTGAGAGTAATTCAGTGATTAGTCGCATGATTATTTATCGCTGCAACAAGCGACACCATGAAATCACAATATAATCATACCCAGTAGCGATAGTGAATTTTTTTTGTAGTCTGCAATTTTTAGTGTGCATGTCGATTTGTACTTAGGAATATGACGTATTAGGAGCTTAAAGTTGAATTTTCACCTGATACTACGATGCTCATTTTCAGTGTCAAAACAGATCAACATTAATGCTTGATTTCATCAATTTCTATCACGTGATTTATTTTGACGCCGAAAATGATCGAGCATGAAAAGGCACCTTTACAGAAATTCAAATTTAAGTCTGTCTTATCACAACTCTATTATGTATGGTTCAACAGTGGCAGTGAATCATGTGACCTAAGGCCGGGTTCACACCTTGAAAAACAGAAAGCGGGAAAGCGAAAGCCAATCCGAACTCGCGAAAAAAACAGAAGCAGACAAGCGAAATGTACCATCTACTATTACTGCAAGTTCCGATTGGTTTCCGCTTTTCCGTCAAGGTGTGAATTCAGCTTAAGAATACATCAAAGGTACCAACGGTCAGTGTCGCTACTATGTATGATTATACTGTGAAATTGTAGTACCTCTCTCTGCCTATCTTATAAGTATATGGGCCCAGCTACTGTTGCGCGTCAGTCTCAAATATCCCGAAGTCGTTTGCATATCCGGCAGGGTTGCGATTTTAATAAGAGTAAGGAGGGTAAAGGGGACGCCGCGAATACATCAATTAGTCTTATCAAGTCTTGTTGTCTCTGAGTTTTGTGACCATGGCGGATCCGCTGAGTTTACTACGACAGTATAATGTTAACAAGAAGGAAATAATCGAACGCGAGAATCAGATTATATTTGGCGAGTTTTCCTGGCCCAAGAATGTCAAGACCAATTATCTGACTTATGGGTGAGTGTACATACAGCAAAAACGGCATCTTGGAACTACTCCGTGTGGTTACAATCTGTGTTTAACTGCCATCTCTAAAGCGAGAGTAAGAGAGTCGGGAGAAAGAGGGAAATACGATGTATACGAAACACTAAAGCCTGATAACGAGAGAAACAAATTTATTATAGATATGTACTTTTGCCAAGTCGAGCTAGAAACATTCATCATGTGCCTTGTTACGTCTGTGATTTTCCTCCCTAAAATATTTTTTAATTTTCTTTAGAAACTCCAAACTTTCTAAGATTTGTATTTTTTTTATATTTTCTGTATATTTTTTAACAAAATTAATTTCTTTTTCTACTGATGATCTTTATTACAGAATTGATTCTTAGTAAAAAAAAGATCTTATGCATACATGTTTGAAATTCAGATATATTTGGAGTTTGATTATACTTAAATATAATCTTAAAATCTCTTATTGGAGTATCATTCTTAGAAAAATAAATAGTAATAAAATAGTAATAAAAATTTATTGTTTATGAAGATTTATTGTGATATAAAACAATGATACAATCAAATACAGCATTTTAGTTATGTACATTTGCGCTAACTTGTGTTATATTTAGAAAGAACATTGAATTATGAATAAAAACTTTTGTTTAAAGAAGTCTTCTTCAATGATCTTGATTTTGACATATGTTTTCAAAATGAGTAATATTTAAAAAATTTTAGCTGTCATTCATTTATTAAAAAGTTATTAATAAAGAAATTTTTAAATAAAATTTGTAGTATAAATCCATATGAAATTTGCTTTGCATCAAAATGATTGAAATAAACTCTAAAAACGAGAATTTTTTAATATATGTTGATTAAAAAGGCACTAATTAATTTCAAGAAATTAAAATCGCTTTAAAATTAAAATTTCTTACATTCTAACAAACAATTTGAAATCTGAATTTCAAAATCACAAAGAATTTTTAAAGAATACAGATGGATGACTACGCTGTTCGTTAGAATATAAGAAATTTTAATTAGAATTAATTAGAAATTTTAATTAGAATTAGAATTAGATTAGAAAGTTTAGATTTATATCGTACCAAATTCTAATTAATTATACATCTATTTTTTTTTGCTCAATTACCAGTCATTATTAGAATTTTTATAGAATCTTTGTAATCTAAACAATCACTGCAAGCAGTGGATTCCCAATAGATTCATGTCAACTTCAGAGGATTAAACTTTATTTCATAATATTGTCTGATTTGAATGTTTCATTTTTGCATGAATCATTTTTCTTTTACTTGCAAAGATCTGTAAAACCTTGCTTGCTCTGAGGAAATTGGAGCAAAAGATATTTTTTCTCTTATTTTTGCTTTTTTAGTTGAATTCAAAATCAAAACTAGATTGTGATAAATTAGATTGTGATTTTATTTGTGAGTTCAAAATTAAACATGTATTTTTGTATAAAAGAATTTATAATGAAAGCATTAATATATATTACATATTTTATTTGAAGAGATACAAAAATTGATAAAATAATAAAAGTCTTATATTTTTACAAAATGTAAAACATTTTTTTTAGAAGGAAGCACTGGAAATTTTATTAGAAATGTTGATTATATGTTTCGTTATGTCTATAATTTTCCTCTGAAAAATTCTTTGATTTTTCTGAGAGATTTTAAAATTTAGCATTTATATCTTTTTATGATACTTACTATCTAAACTCTCTTTAACAAAATTTAATTTCTTTTTCTACTGAGCTTTAAATTGATCCTTAAATTTTACTGCTTAATAGCGTTTCTCAATCATTTTTCTTTCACTTGTAAACCTAGGAAGAATAGGATCATGTTTGTTCTAAAATAGCAATACAAGATTGTTATTTTTTTACCTTTGTTTTCTTAGTTGAATTTTAAATCAAAACTAAATTGTGATACTTTAATTTTAAAATTAAACACTCGTTTTTGTGACCGAATTTATACTGAAAGCAGATACATAAATTTGGTTCTAAGTGTAAAATCAACCTCAGATTTATTGTATTTCTTTTTGAAAGAAAAAAAAAGTAATAAAATCCAAAAAAAACTGACAAAATATTAAAATTGCTATGACAATAAATATTTAATTTATTTTTCATTAGATGTACACAAACGTTTACATTAAATTGTAGGAGTGCTTTTTTTTTAGTTATGACCAAGATCGTATATTATATATTTTGTTTAAAAAGATATATAAAGATTGATAAAAATATTTATAATAAAATATTTATAATAAAAGCGTCTATTATTTATAAAATGAAGAAAAATCTCTTTGAGAAGGATATTTATATTTCTTTCTATTTTCAGATCCGGAAAAGAAGGGACACCCAAGGAATATTATACACTCGAGTGTCTTTTATTTCTGCTCAAACATGTTCAACTTACACATCCAGTGTATGTGCGACAAGCAGCCGCGGAGAATATCCCAGTGGTGCGTCGACCTGACAGAAAAGATTTGCTGGCCTATCTCAATGGCGAGACTGCTACGTCAGCCGCCATAGACAAATCGGCGCCTTTGGAAATTCCAACACAGGTGAAACGTGCCGCCGAAGATGGCTTAGAAAGCGGTTCATCGAAAAAACCCCGTTTCGAAGAGACCCACGTGCAGAAGGTGAAGGAACAATTAGCTGCACGTCTGGATGCTCCTAAGGAAGCCTCAGTTACCGTCGATAATATCAAATCCCTCTCGGAGGCAATGTCAGTGGAAAAGATTGCTGCAATCAAGGCAAAACGTTTGGCGAAAAAACGTACTACTATCAAGGAGAATGATGATATTGGCATGGGTTCGGATCTACGCGTAATCCTCGACATGGATGTAGACGATACAAAAGACATCGTGTCCCGCGAGCGTCAATGGCGAACACGCGCCACTATCTTGCAGAGTAGCGGCAAGATCTTCGCAAAGAACATCTTTGCGATTCTGCAAAGTATTAAGGCACGTGAAGAAGGAAGACAGAAGGGTCCGATCGTGCCTACGCCCATGGTGACGCCGCGCTCGACACCCATGAGGCCTCTTCCACAACCAGCCGTCTACAATCGTTACGATCAGGAACGTTTCATCCGACAGAAGGAAGAAACAGAAGGCTTTAAGATCGACACCATGGGAACGTATCACGGCATGACTCTAAAGTCCGTAACTGAGGGCACAAATCCCGCCGTGAGGAAACCCCCGACCAATCCGTCCGCCACGCCAACCTCTGGTTTACTGCCAACATCCGCCGCTAAACTAACGCCTCAGCAAGCCGCGCAGAACAAACGACCCAGTCGAACGCCCATTATCATCATTCCTAGTGCCAACACATCTCTCATTACAATGTACAACGCTAAGGACATTCTCCAAGACTTGAAGTACATTAGTAATGAGGACAAACGATCGCAGGGGTGCAAGCGAGAGAATGAGGTACTTCTTCAACGGCGGAAGGAAGGTGGTCTGACCGTACCTTACCGAGTAGTTGATAATCCACAAAAACTCACAAATGCCGATTGGGAGAGAGTCGTTGCTGTGTTTGTTATGGGACCGGCTTGGCAATTCAAAGGTTGGCCATTTGATGGCAACCCAGTGGAAATCTTTTCAAAAAGTACGAAAAAAAATCTGTAGTGAAGTATATACGTATACATATATGTATTTTGGCATTTTTATATTTTAGATTTTTCTCAGTTTATGAAAATAATGTGCCATAATTGATTAGACGTTTTATTACATTGCGAGGAATATAAATAAATAATATACATAAAATATTGTAAATTTTGTAGTCTTTCACAAAAAGAGAAAAACTCGATCACATATGTCATTTGTATTATATTTTGAATGTGTAATCAAACAATTGTTCCTTCTTCTGCAGTATGCGCGTTTCACTTGAAATATGATGAAATGAGGCTGGACACAAACGTAGCGCGATGGGCTGTCACAGTGATTGAATTGAGTCGGACAAAGAGACATTTGGATAGAGCAGCGTTAATGATATTTTGGGAACATCTCGATAAGTGAGTTATTAATTTATTCTTATTAATTTAATTTATTATCACGTACATACGTATCTTCTTAATATAACATCTTACTTCTGAAATTAAATGATCACTGATAAATTATTTTTTAAATTTAATCTAAGCTTTTTAATTCTCATTGTTTTATGAATAATATATTATACAAATAGAGTTGAGAGAAATTAAAATACTATTGAAACTATTATATTCAGAAACGTGAGATATTGGAACTCTTAGTACTCTAAGACAGAAATTAAATCCTTATTTTATATTCTGAGTAATCAAGACTAATTTTTTAATTTGTATATATTATTATTTTTTTTATGAAACTTGTCTTACCAATTTTTTCTCTGTGTTTAATATTTTATTTTTATTTTAATATAACATTTTGACATAAAAGGAAAAAAATATCGTATTTTTTTTTAATAAATAACTAAATGTGTATTTTGTAACATAATA